CTGCTTGCATAGCAAATAGCATAAAACCTCAGAGCACTCTGGCCTTGTGCAGACCTTTGTATGAGAGAACTCTGTGCTTTTACTGTATGTTCAAATATTTCTTCAGGCCCTAGTGGAAGACGGTGAGTCCTAGTGGACAGAGCTCTGAACTGGAATTCCAGAGATTTAAATTCTATTCCTGGCTCTGCCACTAGTCTGCTGGGTGACCGTGAGCAATTCATTTAACTGTTGCGAGCCTCAGTTTCCCCTTTTGTAAAATGGAGATAATGATACTGACCTCATTTGTAAAGCACTTTCAGATATATTGATAAAAGCACTATATAAAAGCTAGGTATTATTAGTGAAATGGACTTACTTGTAAGTATGATTGTAAAATCCCAGCCACAGGCAACTTGTATCACACAAAGACTAGACAGAACAGGACACAAAGTCAAACACAGAACATCCTCAGTGTGATTGAGTCCCAACTGTCCTTCTTTGTTTTGGCCACATACAAAGAGTTCTCCTGCACCTGCAAAATTAAACCACTGTCACAGGTAGATTTATAATAGAGGCAAAATGGAATCACACACATATTGGAACCCTATAGCATTGCGTGCATAGGCTTTGTCTTCTGAAGACATAATTATAATCTCTTTAACAAAGTAAAAATACGCTTTTCTTTCTCGTGTAGACACAGCCATGAAGAATATGACTGCCAAAGGAGATTATTCTATAGTTAATGTTGCTCCCTCTCGGTGTTTCAGAGTGAAACCTTTCATCCAATTCACTTTCTGCTTCATATCCTTCCTATTCTCAAGTAGCCATAATGTACGGTAAAACTTTCCCACCAGGGATTTGGATGCCACTTAAGGTAAGGAGTAAACTAGCTTTTCAAAGTAAAATATTCTCTCTTCCTGCCAAAGCTGTGAAGTCTCTTGCATAATAAGGATCTAGAACAGGCTAGGAAATAATCATCATATAATCCTAAAATGACCTCTAGAGACAAACGAAATAACAAAACTCCCATTTAAAACAATTCAATTCATTGGCAGCAAATAGCTTTTCTGCTCTGCAGTCAAGATTTGTACTTGCTAGAAATTATAATCCACCCATAGGTGGCAGTACAAGCACAGCAACAAGGAAGGTACCCTGCAAGATGATTCTCATTCAGAAACCTGTTAGCTCTTGCCCTGCACATGTCATGTGAATGTCTGTTACCAGTAATAATTGCAGAGTGTCCTCCTCCTCCAGTAATGCTCTTAATGTTTTGATGTTTGCAGGAAAAATCTTTCAGAGTCTGGGGCAAAAGCACGTCCTCTTTATGACCAAGGCCGAGTTGTCCATAGCTGTTTGCACCCTTTAAACAGATAAAGAAAAATTAAAATATGGAAGAGCTTTATGCGCAGAGCAATTTATTAGCCTTTAGGTAGAAATACTTGACTTGTCTGTATTTTGCTATGCAGAACATAGAACACAAACAACTTGGATTTTATGCATTATATGCAAACCTTTAAAAATTATAGTGCAAGTTCAACATGCTTCTGCCATTAAAATATTGGCCAATTTTAGCAACTATTACTTAAGAATTCACAAGATTGTAGTGCAGCTGAAACGCTACATAGAGCCTGGGGCCAGTGGGACTCCCCTGCTGGCCACAGGCTCCATGCAGCATTTCCACTTTGAAATATATAAGAGCCCTAGTGGAGACTCTTGTATATTTCAAAGGTGGAACTCCGCCACTGCATCCCTGCCCCCTCCCACAGAGCTGGAGCTGGGAGGAACTGGTTTTTAGGCCAGCTCCCCCCAGCACTGACTCCATTTCCCCCACCCTTGCTGCCTCTTTTCTGATAGAGGCAGCAAGGGGGGGGAGCAACTAGTGGTTTACACCCCTAATCTAGAGCCCTTCAAATCTGCAGCTATCTGCTTCACATCATGCAGATGGAGAGACAAATTTTGTACCCATACAGGGCTTTAAAGATCAATATATTTTATTTATTCAAGAGAGTGTTAAGAGGTGACTCAGTCTGTGGCTATATCTACACTGAAGGTTTCTTACGCAAGAACAACTGTTCTTGCGCAAAAACTTGCAGAACGTCTATACTGCATGCACATTCATTCGCAAGAAAATTTACAGTAAAACGTTGGAAAACAGGGCTTCTTCCAGAAGAGTTATTTCTCTCCCCACGAGGAATAAGTCCTCTTGTGCAAGAGCTCTTGCGCAAGAAGGCAGTATGGATGGGCAACAGGGGTTTCTTGTGCAAGAAACCCCTATGGCTAAAATAGCCATCAGAGATTTCTTGAGCAAGAGAGCATCCACACTGCCATGGATGCTCTTGCACAAAAGCACATCTCCTGTGCAAAAGCACATGGCAGTGTGGACGCGCTCTTGCGCAAGACCTTTTGCACAAGAACTCTTGCGCAAGAAGCCTGCAGTGCAGACGTAGCCTGTAAGTATCTGCATTGGTACACGATTTCTGAGGTAGAAGTTCTTTAAATCTAGCAGACACAGACATAACAGGATGCAACAGGTGGAAGCTGAAGCTAAAAATTCCTGGTTAAACCAGGAATTGAATGTAGGTCTCTTGAGTCCCAGGCCAGAGCTCTATGCATTACTAAACCATGAAGTAGCAAGTTATCTCCAGAATAGCTTCCCATTCAAACAACTGGGATGGTCATAAGGAAAACTATGAATGGTCTGCACTGTAATACCATAGATAGCATAAATGGCCACCGCTGTCACTAATTTACCAAATAAGTCCCTAATCAGAGACCTATTGTGAACATCTGGTTAGTTATTTTAAAAATCAGCTATCTTATTTCTCTATGCCAATACTGGCTTATTTTTTGTATGCATCTGTTTCCTTATCACACAAACCCTCAAACCACAGAGTGATATAAATGACATGAGCTATATTCTTTTTATGCAGTCCTGGGCTTGTCAAATACTCCACAGAAAAGCTGAATATTTCCAAATTCCCTTTTATTATACAAAACATGTCCCTGGCTAACAAAGAAAATTTAGCAAGATAATTTTATGTACTTTGAGCTAAATTCATTATTGAGGTATATTAGCACTACTGTGGTGCTATTGATGGAATTGTGCCTGAATATATCCGTGGTTAGTTTAGTCCAGCATGCCTACAACTAAAAAATGGGTCAGGCTTGTTAGAATTAAAATTATGCATGCAGTAATTATGCTAATAAACCTCTCTCCACTAAGTTTTCAGTAATGTAGATGTTCTGTCAGCACACTATCCCCAAAATGAAATAAGTAGCACATGCTGTCTCATTTGGAAGTTACAACTAGTGAAATGGAAACACTTTTCTCTTTAGTCAGCTCTTAACTCAGAAAGGGCATAAAAGAGAAGCTACTGATATATTTATAAGCTAAAACCAAACCAGATAAATGAATAGCACAAAGTAGGCACTGGGAAGTCTTAAAATATCTTTGAGGCTTTTTAACAGCATTAGTTGATAGCAGTCCATGAGACCAACAGATGTGATTATCAATTTCAATGCCAGCAGCATATTTATTTGCCTTCAACAACATTGTTAGCAAAAACCTGTCACTGGTTTTGGTGACTTCAGACCCAAAATTACTGCTCCCTCCCCCCAGGAGAAATTAATCATTAGGATTTTCACTAGCTTCCCCGTTTTCCACCTCGTTTTCCCGTGCCCTGCCTATGTTCTCTTTCCCCCCTCCTCCCCGGACACATACACACATGACGTGTTTAAAGGAAGATAGCATCAGTTAATAGGAAATGAATGTAGCAAATTTTAAGACAATATCATGAAAGGCACTTAAGTGGAAAGGTCAAAGTTCATTCTAAGGATTTTTTTTCCATATACTGCGCAGCCTATGGCTATGTTTGCATTACATTTGATGACTTCAGCTCAGTAGGAAAATGGAAATTAGTGTTAATCACTACATTATAAACAGCCCCTGAGTGACCTTTTACTATTATTTTTAGCATTTTTATTCAGTGCAGCCTGCTTGTATGAAGGGAGGCTTTTCTAGCACTTAAATGTACAAATAGTAAGAACCAAAATGAGTGCACTAGAACTGTATCAAGAGTACCAGAGGCAAACCCATGGAGTTCAATGATGCAGCATATAGTCACACCTCTTTAATAAAGGCAGCCTGAGATGATCACCCGACCCAGTGTGCTATGTTCCTACTTGTTATAACCATAGGGTCCACCCTACAATTGTGCACATTGGATGAGTTGCTATCCCTGCAAGGAGTCGCACCATAAGGGCTGGACCGAGGGGTATTGCCGCACCCGCTGGCCTGAACTGGTGACAACCACCCAAATACATGGTTTCTGCCTTCAGCACCCCCAATTATAAAAACTGTTCCAGCTAGGGTTGCCAGGTGTCCAGTTTTGAACTGGACAGTCCAGTATTTTAGCTTTCTGTTCGGGAAACAAATTGAGAAAATATAAATGAGAAAATAGAAATGTCTGGTATTTTCTAAATAAGATGTAATGTAGATTGAGATGTAATGTCAAGTGTGTCCGATATTTTTGTTTTGAAACTATCTGGCAACCCTAGTTCCAGCCCCAATGAGCCCCACTAATTTCACTGAGGCAGCAACCTGCCCTTGCACAAGGAGCGGCAGGGGCCCCCCCCACCGCTACAGTAAACACAGCAGTGGCTGCAGTCTGCTCAGTCTACTTTATGCAAGAAAGTGGCAGCTGAAAGGGCCCCTGGAAAGTCAGCTGTTTGCCTCACCCCTCGCTTTTGGCTGTTAATTTACCGCACAACAGCAACCCCTCATTCCTCTGACCTGCCACTGCTCAGCCCTGCCACAGCTCAGCCCTCCCGCCCCCATGGCTGGGGT